TAATTCTCTTCCTTAGCAAAGGATGATTGATCAATAGAACCAAATGGAATCCTTTAAAAATGAAATTTTCTATTACAGGGTTTAACTTGAAGGAACTAGATCTATGGATAAAGGACACCCATAGGTTTTTACTTCGTTGAATGGTATATGAAAGCTGAGAGAAAGGGAAGAGCAGGGAGATGAGCGCAGGCTCAGAAGGTGATGAGTTTGGAGGAAAGAACACATCTGACAGGAAACAAGTTCCTTCTTTGTGGAGTGCAATGATAACCTTTCCCTTTTCGCCATGAGATCGAAACTAAAATTATCAGTTTCTTGTTTAAAAAAAAAAGGAAAGAAAAGATTATGCTCAGAATTACACCCTCTTCCACACACTAAAAAAAAAAAAAAAAAAAAAGTCATTTAATTCAGTGAGCTTTGTGATCTAATCATTACTCAGAGCTGAAGGTGGTTTTCCATTAAAGCACTGCATCACTCTCACTTTCTGACCTGTGAAGGCTCTTATTAGCGGCCTTATTATGATGATATCCTGTCTCTGAAGTAAAAAAATAAAATTTTCTCCTTACCTGACATGTCATCATTAGAGTAATCTTTGTTGGGGTGGTGGGGGAAGGCTGTTAAATAGACATTTAAATTTATGGCGCACTCTGCCATGCAGCAGGACATCAGTGATGGAGTGGACCTAGAGTACACTAGTGCACACTCTCCATGACTAGCAGAGCTAGAAACAAAGGACTACCTGCTTCATCTAAGTTGGTTCTGACTTGGGGCAAAAACTGGGTTTTAAGGACTCAGAGGAAATGAGGAACACATTAAACCAGACAAATACAGACACATAATTATAGAAATACTAGAGGCCCAATGCACAAAATTCATGCAAGAGTAGGCCTTCCTTCCCCCGGCTGCCAGCACCGGCTTCCCTCTGGCACCTAGGACCTGGGCTTCCCTCGCAGCCCCGGCTTCATCAGGAAGGTCATCTGGAAGGATGTCCGGAAGGATGCACAGTCTAATTAGCATATTATACTTTTATTATTATGGACTAAAGGCCCAATGCACAAAATTCATGCAAGAGTAGGCCTTCCTTCCCCTGGCTGCCAGCACCAGCTTCCCTTTGGCACCTGGGACCCAGGCTTCCCTCTGGCCCCGGCTTGTCAAGAGGACATCTGGTCTAATTAGCATATTACCCTTTTATTATTATAGACTAGAGGCCCGGTGCACAAAAATTTGTGCACTCTGGAGGGGGGGGGAGGGGGGGTCCCTCAGCCCGGCCTGTGCCCTCTCGCAGTCTGGGACCCCTCAGGAGATAATGACCTGCTGGCTTAGGCCTGCTCCTGGGTGGCAGAGGGCAGGCCCAATCCCTAGGTGCAGCCCCTGGTCGGGCTCAGAGCAGGGCTGATTGGGGAGTTGGGGCTCCGCCCCCTGTCATGCACAGAGCAGGGCGGATTGGGAGGTTGCGATGCCACCCTCAGTCACGCTCAGGGTGGGGCCAATTGGGGGGTTGGGGCACTGCCCCCTGTCACACTCAAGGCAGGGTCGATGGGGAGGTTGCGGCTCCACCCCCTGTCACGCACAGAGCAGGGCCGATCAGGGGGTTGGGGCGCTGCCCCCTGTCACGCACAGAGCAGGGACCATAAGGGGGGTTGGGGCTCCGTACCCTGTCACGCACAGAGCAGGGCCAATCAGGGGGTTGGGCACTGCCCCCTGTCATGCACAGAGCAGGGCCCATCAGGGGGTTGGGGAGCTCCCCCCTGTCATGCACAGAGCAGGGCCGATCAGGGGGTTGAGGAGCTCCCCCCTGTCATGCACAGAGTAGGGCCGATAGGGGGTTGGGGAGCTCCCCCCTGTCATGCACAGAGTAGGGCCGATAGGGGAGTTAGGGCACCGCCCCCTGTCACACACAGAGCAGGGCAGATCAGGGGGTTGGGGCGCCGCCCTCTATCACCCACAGAGCAGGGCCGATCAGGGTTTGGGGCGCCGCCACTGTCACACTCAGGGCAGGGCCAATGGGGAGGTTATGGCTATACCCTGGCACACACAGAGCAGGGCCGATCAGGGGGTTGGGACACCGCACCTTGTCACACACAGAGCCACAGGGCGATCAGGGGATTGGGGAGCTCCCCCCTATCAGGCACAGAGCAGGGCTGATCAGGGGGTTGGGGCACCTTCCCCTGTCACGAACAGAGCAGGGCGGATAGGGAGGTTGTGGCCCCGGCCCCTGTCACACACAGAGCCGCAGGGTGATCAGGGGGTTTGGGCGCTGCCCCCTGTCACGCTGATCCGGTGCCAGGAGGCCTCGCGGCTCCACTGATCCCGGTGCTGGGAGGCATATTACCCTTTTACTATATAGGATAGAGGCCTGGGGGCCGGCTGGTTTGCCCTGAAGGGTGTCCTGGATCAGGGTGGGGGTCCCCACTGGGGTGCCTGGCCAGCCTGGATGAGGGGATGATGGCTGTTTGCAGCTGGTCACACCCCCTTCAGGGTGGGGGTCCCCACTGGGGTGCCTGGCCAGTCTGGGTGAGGGGCTGAGGGCTGCTTTCAGGCTGGCGGTTGTTGACTGAAGCTCCCAACCGCTCCTTTTTTAACTCTTTATTTTATTCTGGGCCAGCTTTAGCTCTGGCTCTAGCTCTGAGGCTTCCGCTGCTGAAAACAGGTATCTGGTTTGTTTGCGTTCTATAACCGAAACAATGTATAACTCCAGCTCTGAGATCCCGGCTGGCTGAAAGCTGGTTTCTGGGGTTTTGTTTAGCTTCTATATTTGTTAGAATGTTTCAAACTGCCAGCTCAGAGGCCGGCAAGTCAGGCGGGGAACGTTGGAGTCCTCCTTCACTGAAGCAAGCAAGCCTCATGTTCGCTTCCAGCTGCCTGGCTGCCGGCCGCCATCTTGGCTGACAGTAATTTGCATAAGGATATGCTGATTAGCCAATGGGAAGGGTAGCAGTCGTACGCTAATTACCATGTTTCTCTTTTATTAGTGTAGATGATACATATGTTTGTTATATGTCTATACAAACATGTACTCTCTAATAAAAGCGATGGAAGGAAAGGGAGCAATCCCCAAGATGACCAGGATATCTAGCTAAGTCTCGAGCAATGACATGGACAGAGGAGCCTCAGCAATCTCTGGTCTTACATGGCGACAGTCACTAAGCACACTGCTGACAAAGTGATCAGCTCCATTTGCCTATTTTCTGCCCCCTTTCATACAGGGTTTCCAGAGAAACAAATTTCTCCTTCCTGTTCATGGACAGCTGTGCCATTGTGGGTGCTTTGACCTCTGAGCAGCCTGTGTTCTAACCAACCACAGGGAGAGGGGTTGGGTGGTGGTGCTTAAATTACATATAACATAGATACATTATATAATATTATTTCTATAATTTATATATACATCTTTTAAAGACTACATAGTCTTAATGGACTAAAGTGGTGATAATGTAATAGTGAGACCATCTTTTCTGAGGGACAGTTGAGTGACTCCTCGTCCATCCTCATCCAAGTGTGGCTGCCTGCCCATTTCATGACTTGGGGCGTCCCCTGCGGGTATGGGCAGAGCACAGTGCATGTGCAGACCATCCCAGCCTGGCCTTCCATAGCCACACTCTCCCCATGATTCGTGCAAGGCCTGGTGAAGTGTTCTGGAGCCACAGGTCATCAGTTCATTTGGACAAGACTGCCTCGTGGAGCATAGTCTCATTTCTGTGATGACCCATAACAATGCCTTCTTCTCAGTATGGCTCACATTGCCAGTTTTAATCTACAAATTCCTTAGTGATTTTGGTCCCCACAATGTTCAATATTACCTCTCCTGCTCTATTTCTCACTGCCAGTTGAGATAAAGAACCTGCCAGTTTGGGCATTTGCAATGGATGGGCTTTCTGGTCAGTAAGAAAATTAACAAATCTGTCCATCTTGCTTTTCTACTTTCCATGCCTTGCATGCATATAGGAATCAAAGACATGGTATTACTTGGCTTGCTATACATCTCTTATTAGAATCCTGAGGTGATAGAATTTGGATCTGGTGACACAATGAGGGCTGCTGTGACAACCAACTAACTGTTGCCAGGCACTCCACAAGAAGGCATTTTTGACAGGATTTAGCAAAACTTGCTCTTTGGGTAGATACCACATCTACATTTCTGCGTAAGACATACCTAGGATCTACTGCCCTTCATATCATCAAAGCACCATACAAATGTTGACAAGTGTCCATCTGAAAGATTTAGCAAAACCTTATTTCATAATTTGGGAAATATAAAACAGGTTAATATTGGAAGTGAACTAGAATTTGGACATTTCTCTGGGCTCACTGTATACAAGGCTAGAACTTAATCAAAACATTTGGTTTGCTGAAATGATGCAAAGTGAGCAAAGGGCAATAATAGAAATATTTATGTAGTTTTCTGTCTTATTTTTTAAAATTTAGTTCTAATGTATTGGTTCTTTCAATTCAGAATTCCCCAGGCTTCTTTTGGCAGCCTGGGTCTTCCATGGGATTCATTAAGAAAGTTCCCCCAATAATGCCAAGGTTGTGGGTTCAATGCCCAGACAGAGCACATACAAGAATTAACTAAGGAATGCGTGAATAAGTAGAACAACAGATTGATATGTCTGTCTGTCTCTCTCTCCATTCCTCTCCCTCTCTAAAAATCAATTTAAAAAATGTTTTAAAACAAGGTCCCTTTTTCCTGTGCCCTCTCTCCTCAGGTGTTCAAATAAGCAATCAATCACTCATTTCTGTGTTTGCACAGACAAATATGAGGAAATTTCCAACTTTCACTAAATATGAAAAAAAACCCACGTCTGCTAATATACAGGGTGACCCCCCCAAAATGTATACACACTTTAATAGCTGATATCTCAATTTTGAAAATGAAAAAAAATTTAATAAACACTGCCTGTATAATTATTCAAAGTGTGTGTATACATTTTTTTGGAACACCCTATATATTAAAAAATAACTCTAGCTAGGAGAGTTTCCACAAGAATACTACAGACACCACAAACAACAGGAAGAAATATGCCTTTTATTTAAAGTTTCATATGTACAGAGAAAGTTCTTTCTCAAGCTCAGGGTATGCTGTGAGAAAGAGCCCTGTCATTCAAGGTCACTGCGTTTACATTGGTAACAACACTGAAACGTCACTGCACATTATGAACAAATAGAACATTACACAGAAATGCAAAAGAGACATAGGTACATGTATGGACACTTCACACATTTTCTAAAAACAAGTAGACACAAAATACAATGTGCCAGTAAAAAAAAATAGGCATATCAGTCATGTCTCTTTTTTTCCTTTTTTGTTAATACATGGATGTGGAGCTTTCATCTCAAGCGTTTTCACATCGGGATTCGCAGGCACTTTAGCAACTCAGCCATGGTTTATAATACATGATGTTGAGACCAAAAGATGAAAACATGAGAGCAGATGAGGTCCAGTGACCCACATGTATGTGAAAATATTGGCATGAGAAGCACTTTTGTCACCACTGCTTGCAGACACCAGAATGTTCTCCTTGTGAAGTGTGATGGGTTTTCCCTTATTTGTCTTTTCTGTTTCATAGCAGAATTATTTAGTAACACGGATGGCATCACCAGGCAGACATATAGCATGTGGATGCACTAGACACATGTCAATTCCTATCGACTTGGGAATGGTAGAAAGCAGATGAGTTTTTAGAATCTCCAAATGAATGACCTATCTTTGTCCCACTCTATGCCCTTCCTGCCAACCTGTCAATCAAAAACTAATTAAAATAATTACTTGGATGTAATGGACCAGAAGCTCATCCTGGGAGAATTGTTTCCTTAGCTACCACTTCCCACATCATGATATACACAGGACGATGGGCAGCCCAGTCCTTCCCCGCCAGGGGTCCCTCCCCTCTCTCGCCTTCCCTACACAGTGTGGTGACTCGACACATGTATTAGGAATATGACCAAACAAGAGCATTTGTAATCTCAGAATAGATGATCACTTTATTGGTAATGTTTAGGTATAAGGCAGTTACAAAAGAAGCCCCATGAAAACCCGACAGTGATGGAATATGGCTTAACTTCTTTATAACATGAAGGAACTTTGCTGTTATGAGGAACAGAGAATGAAAAGGAAAAACCATACCAATTATAAATGACTGTGCTATGAGGTACTGTAAAGCCCCAATTTCTGGAGTATGTCACTCACTTTCATCCACCAGAAACTGAGAGGTGCCTCACATCGCAGAAAACTTAAAGGGAATAAAGAGAAATCAACATTACCTCAGCTTCAAGGTAATTTGTCACCACTAGTTGTATGGGGCTGTGACACAAAGCCATGAACATCTCTTGAGTCAGGCCAAGAATTCCTGGTCCTCCTGAGAGATGCTGTGACAAATGCTTCGAGCAGATGATTGTCAGAGAGTGGGAAATCCTTCCATGAAATACACTTGAGACATACTGGCAAAGACATTAAGGCCTTCCATTTCTTTGCCCATACTGCTTAAAGGCACTGATACCAACAACAGAAATATTCCATAGTACCATGGAGGTTTTTAAAAAAACTCCCCAAATACAAGTCTCCATAAGAAAATGTCCTTTATTGCATGAATGAAGCATCCGCTCTTCTGCTCAGGAATAGAAGGGTCTCCCTTTTTCAGGAGTCTGGAGTCTGCTCAGCCTAGCGACCTGAGAAGGGGATGGGGGCACATCCTGCCGGAAGGGCCCCTTAGGGGGAGTGTAACTGGGGTCCTGGACTTTCTTATACGAGTCATAGCTGTTGAGCCCCTCGGGAGCAGGCTGCTTCTTCATCTGCTGCTCTTTCCGTCTCTGTTCCTGGCGAAGGAGCTCCTGGGTCTCCAGCATCACCCTGGCATTGAAGCCGTGCCCGCCCAGGTAGCCGTTTCTGGAGCCTTGGTAGCTGGAGTACCTGAGGCTCTCCTTGGCACTCTGGAAGCCTTCCCCAGGCGAGTAGTTCTGCTCCCAGGAATCCTGGGAGACAGAGCTGGCATTTTTCCTGCTTTGCCTAGAAAGCAAAGCCAAAGGTCAGTGTGAGATTGGGAGAAGGGGAGAGCAAAAAAAAGGAGGGAAGGGGTAAGAGGGTATATGCATTTCAATATTTCAACAAATAGTATTGTGCTCCAGGCACTGTGATGGGGGCTGGAGGAAGAAAATGTGACTGTCAGCAAGCTCAAATCTCAGACAAGTGAACAAACAAGGGCTAAACAGGAGAGAGAACTAACTGACAGCTATTCAGAAACAGGGTCTGCCTTCTGTGTCTGGGGAGGTACTGTCTATTCTACTTAGGGAACATATATCTCCTGCAATTCAGACACATTGGCAAAATGCTTTAGAGGAGGATTAGAGATTTGGCAGCATCTACTCTAGCAATAATTGCTTGCTTCAGAACATTACAATTCGATTCTAAACAAGCAAAACAAATATTTTACACAGCTGCCACTATGGTGCCAGAGATGCTAGCTAATAGGAAGTACATGTAATGGATTACAATGTGAGTTCAGCTATGAAAGATTTAAGTCTCGACTCCTTTATGATTAAAAATGCAACAGGCAGTCCCTTACAGCCTGGCTTTTGAGTTGTATATGTCAGCAATGGACACTCCTCAGAACACATGCTCATCAAGACTGTAGACCTGGAAGTCTGCAGAGTAAGCACTGCTGTTCCGTGCACTGTGCCCTCACCAAAGGCCAGGACAGCTTACTAAACTCATGTTTGTTCACCACAGGTCAGGGGAAATTTCAAATTATCATCATTTGTGCAATAAAGTTACACAGCATTTTCAGGAAACATTACTGTTTTGAAATATCTTTAATTTATTATCTAGTCTCTAGATGCTTTTATGAATTTACAATAAGATTGGATATGATAAAGTAAAACAATTTTTTGTTAGAAAGGAAGACAAGCCCTAATATTTAGCCTTGAAAATGGGAGAGAGGGAGAGAGAATCCAGTAATAAAACAAAATCTATTGCTCCATGTATCAATAAGAAAACCATTTGGTGACAGTATATATTACTCAGCCTTTTGCATCAACACACACATGATGGAATGTTCAAAAGGGCCCTGCAGGAAAAACAGGGCCTATGCAGTCACTGGGTCTCCCACAGGGATGAAGCAATTTGCATTTTTGAACATTCAAAAGTGCCATTATTAGGGCTTTGGATCAAAGCTGCCTATTTTTCCTATGACCTAAAATGTAGTCAGGGATATTTTCAATAAGGAAATGAACTAATGATCAGCATCATCTCTGGATATGACTATGATTAATTGAGCAGTCTACAGTATATCTATCTGGTTCTCTTCTAACCAGTTAAACTGCCACGCATCCAAAACAAAAACCATCCCCACATGCCATGATATTTTGAATTTAATTTAAAAAATTAATTTGCAATGAATATTATAAAAATAAATATATTATATTACTCACAATTCGGGTGTTCTTGAATATTTTTAGTTGAAAATCCTCACAAAAAATGATTTTAAAGCATCTATAGACACTATGGCATACAAAGGGTTAATGGGAATCAGATCATTTGTACAATCAGCCCAAGCAAGAATCCTTCCATTTGGTGGAATAGTTTATTTGCCTAAAGCACTGATTATCTTCACTTAAAAAGTCATACATTAATCTGCCCAGAGACAGGAATGTTGGAAAGTGCCCGCATGAAACCAGGGATTTGACATTAATCATGAAACTTTAATTAAAACAACAAATTTGTTACTGAGGTTACAGTAACAAAAGTGGGACTCCTTCATAAGTTGGTTATCAATCTAAAGATAATCAGAAATAGGCTGCAGACATTTCACCTCTTTCTCATCCTTGACCTACTGAGACCCATGAACCCTCTTCATCCTGCACTCCCAACTCTGGGAAGCCTGAAGATGTGCTCTGTGGCGGTCATGTACCATAAGCTGAATTTTTAATCAATCCAGGAACACACTGAGAACTCACTAAAGGTTTGTTAGGAATGGAAACTCTGATGATGTGGAAGAATTTCTTTAAAATTTTCTTCAAATTAATCATATATAGAGAGGGAAGCAGACCTTCCTGAGGTTTAAAGTAAGGTACGTGGGGAAAGTACATACATGTAGGTACATACACATGTATACACACACACAGACATACACACACGCTTCCTTGGTAAGAAAGCTAGTGGTACCCACAACTCTTAATTAAGACACAGGAAATGAGCAGGTCACAGAGAAACATAAGAGTGCAGCAGACAATAAGAATTTCCAACACTAGGAAACTCATCACCTGCGTACTAGGCACAATGGGAGAGTGGCTTTGGATCAGATAGACATAGATTCACATCTGGAATCTGCCATTTGCCAGTTGGGGGATGCTGGGAGGGTTACGCTCTCTGGGCCCAACTTGCCTCATCTGTGAAATAGGTATAATAGCTAACCTCATAGGGTTATGAGGCAGAAATGAACAAAATAACACATGCAAAATGTTTAGAAAGGTATGGCACAGAGTAAATGGCTGACTAATGGGGGTTGGAGGAGTAGTTTGAAGGCAACGTCACTTTGCCTTCAAAGAATAGGCTCTGGGTTTTGGGAAGCATCTTTCTGACCAAAGAAGAAAAATGAAGAAAAATATTAGCTTTCTTTTCTTTTGTCAGAGAAATTGGGTAGAAACAAAGAGGAGAGAAAGGCACTAGAGAACAACTGAAGAACCCTCACTAAGTGAGGGTAAGTCCACCCAATTCCACAGAGATGAGAAGGAAGCTTTCCAATGTCCCATGATTGCCCAAAGGCCACAATAACAAGAGCAGCAAGAAAACATCAATGTCCATCAATGTGAATTTCTTTATAACCAACATGCAGGCTTGTTTGGTCTTGGAATGAGCCCACTAGAGATTTCTGAACCCACTGAAAGCACACACCCTGCTTTGTCTATGATTACAATTATCACCAAAGTGGCCTGAAGGCCATCATCATGCAGAGGACTCACACCTTGCGGAAAGCCAGTTAGCCACCGAGATGAGGAGGATGCAGAAGGATGATGAAAGATATAAAGACCAAGGCTAACAAGTTGACAAGCAGCTCAGAGACATAATAAATGGGCCTGGTAGGGAAGACTACGTCAGGGTGTGAAGACATAGTGGAGAAGTGAGACATACAAAGCAGAGAAGTGAGACACCAACAGATGTGAAACCAAGGGAGAGGGAAAAATGAAGAAGAAATGGGGAGTCAGCAGGAAAATTTTAAAAAAATTAATAAAGGATCTTAAGTTTTTCTATCGGTGACTCTGAACATTCTTCACCATTTGAGCGTTGCCTTTTGGAAACTAAATGAAGGAACTAATTTAGGACTAAAAATATAGATTTTAAAAAAAGAAAGTAAAAATGAAAACTGATTTAAGAATTTAAAAAATAAAAAAGAAGTCTTAGTCTGATTGAGAATTGAGTGTGGGGCCACTCAGGTCCCCTTTCCTTCAGAACCAGTGTTACTACCTGGCTAATGTTTCCTACTGACATTTCAAAATGAAACTTGAATTCTGCCGTTTGGCTTCCTTAATTACAGTTAGAATTTCAAACTACTCTGGCTCACATATATCCCTCTAATTCAAACCACCTTATCTACTGTGACTGAGACAAAGTCTTGACCATTTGCTTTACTTTATATTCCACTTTGCAGCTGAACTATTTTTGTTTGTGTGTGAAATCTTTTTGGGATCAAATGCCATACCAACTTGTTTAGATAAAACCCTGCTAATTGTCAACATCCGAAAAGCAGAGGTCAGTGTCTCTGAAGAATATCACATGTCAGAGACGTGGACTGGACTCAAGCTCATACAAGCTGCTGCAGTCCTCCTCTGACCTCCTGTTTGGGTTCTTTACCGAGTTCAGGTTTCTGCACACAGCTGCTGTGGAGTGCAGCCGCTCTGCCAGCAAGCCAGTGGGGCACAAGGCTCTGCACTCCTAATCCTCCTCACACGTGTGAAGATTCACACTGAGAATGATTCTCTAAAAGAAGAGCACATGACCACCCCAGTTGCCTAAATGTACACAACTCTTTCATTTTGGGTTTTCTATTTTTTTCTATCTGCGCAGAGTAAAATGGCTAATAATCAGGGAGTCACAATACCCAGATGGAAAGTTTTAGTTATTTAGGGAAACACTAAACGACACCAGTAGTACCAATAGAAGCAATCATCTTCTACATGGGAATACAGATACTTCTACCAGCTGCTTCAGGAGGAGAGGGAGAGAGAGAGAGGGCGGCAGAGTGATGTGGTGGAAAAGGACAGGTAGCAAGTGAAGAAGGGGAGAGACAGGCCAGGACAAAAAGATATGTTTGGAATACTGAGCTCCTATGGAATGTGACCAGGAGAAACTCCATGGAAGCACTGATCTGTGTCCTCTTTCTGGGGAACAGGGCCCTAGTCTCTCTTCTGCCAGGCCATCCACCCCTCTAGGCCCTCCGGCCACCATCTCTCTCACATCCCTTCCTTAGTTCTGTACATGTCAACTCACTCCTCTTCTTTATACACTATATGATAGTTCTCTTTCACTTCTTATAAATACTCTCAAACACAAGTAAAATACAGAAAGCCAAACTATTTATCAACAGATTAAGAACCCGGTCCCTGCACAGACAATATATGCCTAAAGCACGTTGTAGCCACACACACACACAGGTCTCGATGTGCTACGGGCCACCTACGTGGCTGTGGCAGCAGGACCATACCTGGTGTGTCAATTCATCTACTTTATCATGCTCATCTTTCTGACGACTGCAAGCCAACCGGCTGGGAGAAGGCACTCACATGGAAGAACCTTTATGTATAATCCGAGAGGCGTCCAGCAGCTGATGCACTGGGCTGAGTCATACAGGGGCCTCCTTCCAAATGCTAAGGGCATAGAGCACAGAGGGGGACTTTACACCTACATCTGTCAATATTCCAAACTTGGGAACAAAAGTTTTGGTGGCAATGATATATGGAAATTAATGATTATAAAGGGCATAGGCAGGTTTGCGTTTGAATTCCGTGCTAGCTGTGTGGTCTTAGGGAAAGCTGCTTAATCTTTCAGAGCTGTTTCCTTGTAAGACAATATGATCTCCAGGTCTTGTCCAGACCTAAACTTCAATGACACTTACTTAGAATGGGCTAAATAACTGTTAGTTATCCTCCTATTTAAAAGAGAAGATAATTCTGTATAAAAGAAAAAACAATTTATTACTCAAAGGAAATATAATTTTATGAACTGAAAAAAAGAACTGAATGAACAAGTTACTATAGTAATGGCACTCACCCCAGTATAGATTCTCATTCACATCCACATTCCCATGGTGACATGGGTCAATGTAGTCAAATACCTCACAGTTAATATAGTGATTATTTAACATTTAAAGGGACTCATCTTTATTAGAAATTGAATCAAGATCACTTTTATATTGGTCAGTTAAGTTTACACAGATAAGCATTTGTTCCCTTCCCTCTCCCCAAATAAAAGTTGTTCTGCTCAAATTCGAAATAGTTGATAAAAACAAGGTAAGTGGATTTTTTTTGTACCCAAAATGTTTTTGTTACCTGGTTTGAAGTAGAAAAACAAATGCCTGTAAGATTGTGATTACTAGGAGTGACTTATTTTGGGAAGTTTGGAAAGCTGAATATTTTAAAATATTTTTATTCTTTACTATGTATGTATGAAATACTCAGATGGAAAAATGGTTGTTGTTCCATGTGTGAGGGCTCAGTCACCTGAGCACTTTCTAGGCCTGACAGAGCCCCCAGAGCAGAGGTACCTCCATGTGGCTGTCAGATAATGAGGTGGGCACACTGGGATCCTCTGAGGATCAACACAAGCAAACACAAAGCTGGCAGTAGAGCAATAGGGGGAGATTAGGGCCCATCTAAGTATAGAACATGAAGCATTCACTCCACCCATCTACAGAGCTCTAGATATCCGAAGTAGCAGTTATTCTAGTTACCCTAGGAACTAAGCAAAATTAGAGTTATCTTTCCATTTTTCAGAGGAGGAAACTTTCTCCCCATGGTCACATGGGAGGGCAGAACCAATGCTATAACCCAGGTCCAGTCCCTAAGTACTCATCTGTCAATGCACTGCCTTTGCATTATTCAGTATTTAAGTGATAATGTTGGCATGTCCTGAAAGAGCTTTCTTTCTAGTCTTCTTGCCACATAGTAAGATGGCCTTGAAGCCAGACAACAACCCCTACCATCCACTTGCGGTTCCTCTCTGACCACCGTGGGTAAGGTGGAGAGGCCAGGGCAATTTCGGAAGGACAGAGTGTGAGTACTGTACCTAGGCAGAGAGCTGTACTGGCGCTGGGCCTGCTGGAAGCTCTCACGCTCCTCTTGCCGCTGGCGCTGCATCTGCACCTCCACGGACACCGAGTGCCTGCCACTCTGCGCCGGAGGTCGGGAGCTGGGCTGCAGGAGGAAAATGCAAAATAATTCACAAGAAGGGAATCACATCATTTCTTATAGACTGACTTAGAAACATTTGGAAAATTCTGTGAAATTAAAATAAAACCAACTGCAATTTTCTCAAGTTTGATAAAAGAGACATTTATCTAATTGCTCTGATGAGCCCCAAATATTGAATCATCTTAAATTTTAATTATGGCTTTAGAATGGTTAGAAATTGAGAGGTCAACCTTTCTAAGTCTTCCTAACGAGGCTTGACAAATTCAATGCCAAGTAAATAAATAAAATTGAAGGTTAGCTATGCTGGCAAATGTTTTCAATGGTTATGTATTTTAGTTTAACAGTAGGACGCAATATAAGCTGATCCCCCTTTTCCTAAAGAATGACAGTTAAGCCCTGGCTGGTGTTCCTCGGTGGTTAGAGTGTCGGCCCAGCGGACTAAAGGGTTGTAGGTTCGATTCTGGTCAAGGGCACATACTTGGGTTGCAGGCTTGATCCCCAGCCCCTAGTTGGGGCACATAAGGGAGGCAACCAATTGATATTTCTCTCTCTGTGTGTCTCTCTGCCTCCCTTCCACTCTCTCTAAAAAAAAAAATCAATGGAAAAAATATCCTTGGGTGAGGATTAAAAAAAGAGAGAGAGAGAGTTAAATTTGAACCAAGTTTAGGTGTAACTACCTATTGTTAATCACATACAGGTGTCCTCTAGTCCAGGGATGGTAGCCAAATGGGGAATAAAAATGCTTATCAAATTAATAAACCTGAAAGCTAATAGCTACTTGAACTGGTTATAAGACAAGACATTTTGCCTTAGTGATTAGGAAATGGCATTTTTACCTAGGTTAATTGTATCCTATAGAGCAGTGGTTCTCAACCTTCCTAATGCTGCAACCCTTTAATACAGTTCCTCATGTTGTGGTGACCCCCAACCATAAAATTATTTTCGTTGCTACTTCATAACTGTAATTTTGCTACTGTTATGAATCATAATGTAAATATCTGATATGCAGGATGTATTTTCATTGTTACAAATTGAACATAATTAAAGCATAGTGATTAATCACAAAAATAACATGTAATTATATATGTGTTTTCCGATGGTCTTAGGCGACCCCTGTGAAAGGGTCATTCGACCCCCAAAGGGGTCGCGACCCACAGGTTGAGAACCGCTGCTATAGAGAAATGTTCAATTCTGCTGGCTAAATACTTTGGTCAGCAGTCATCTGCTGATTGTGCCTCTCGCTCAAATCAGATACTGGATGTATATACTGTGTTGCATAGATCTAGTCCTGTGGATGCTCTGGCTTCTCACTGGTAGGTCTTAGCTTACCTTCTAGATTTGGCTTTTTGAAATAAAAAATAGACAACAATGCCTCTAATGCTACAAATACCCCACGATGGTTTATCATCACATCAGTGGCTCACACTCTTAAATAATCCTTTTGGTGCATGCTAACCTCTGTTCCCCTTGGTGTCATGCAACAGGCATATTCTGAGTGAAGAATGTCTGTTAAAAACACATTATCGATTTTCTTTTAGAGTTGAAAGCCAATGGCAGACTTTGACTTCATAATAATTTTCTAAAATAATAGAGTTATAGCATTCATTTGGAGACCTGTAAGAAAACATGTGGGGCTGTAACTTAAACAATGTCTCTTGTAGTTGGCTTTTGTGTGAACAGAAAGCAAGCATCATCTATTGTTCGCTCTCTGCCTGGCCAACATTATCTTATTTATTGGTAAGCAACAATATGGCAATATACAGGACAAAATTTTCAAAGCATATTGGCACAGCCACTGAACATATTAAAAATATCCTGATACCAAAAAATGTGTGAAGATTACCCCAATTTCAACTAGTGGGTATTTACAGCCATACTCATAGGAACAAATGTGTGTCCACAGACCCTCTCCACAACATGGGAGTCAACACATCAATGGTGCCTTTAGCAAGGAAAACACTTCACTGAGTGAGTTCTGCTTATGCAAACAAAGCATCAACCAAGTGTTCATCAACTGCATTAAAGAAGACAAACATTTTCTTCCATTGCACTTGAAGAGGCTGGCCAAATAGAAAATCGAGCTGTTCTAGTGTTCACAGGGAATCCTGAGAGAAGCCACTGGACAAAGGGAAACAAAGCAAGAAAATACTACACAATATTCCTTCAAAAACAACGATATTCCCT